CAGTGGTTTAGGTGAGGCTATTAGGGGATGGAGGAGGCCTCATAGGGGACTCACAGTAGAGTGGGGACCCCAGCACCAGTGAGGGCGCAGAGGGGGCGGCGTAACTGAGAAGGCCTGAGAGACAGGCGGCGTAACTGAGAAGGCCTGTGCGGGCATGGTGAGCCCTGGAGAAGGGCAGCATTACTGTAGAGCCCCAGTATGGGCGTGGTGAGCCCTGGAGAAGGGAGCGTCACTGAGAAGGCCCGAGAGAAGGGCAGCATTATTAAGAAGGCCCTGAGACTGGGCGGGGGGCGGCGTTGTAGAGAGAGCCCGGAGAGAAGGGCGGCTCTACTGAGAGAGAGAGAGAGAGAGAGCGCCCCGGAGAGCAGGTGCAGAGAGAGAGAGTGAGACAGGGCTGTGGAAAGCCCGAGCGCTAGAGAGGGCGCGAAGATAGAGAGAGGGACAGAACAACATCCATTACATTTGCGAGGCTTGGGGTGTGGTATTGGGGTGGTAGCAGCCAAGCATAGCCCATAAGGCTTGGGTGCATGGGACACCCATGACAGGAGAACCGTGGCCAAGAGGACAGAAGGAAGCCTCCCTAAAAAAGATATAAAATCAAAGACGTGGCGGGCGAGAATCAGAGGGTGCAAGACGGTTGCTTGGCACGGTGAAGGAGGCGGCAGGGAGAGCACGGTGACCCTGATGTCCCTCCTGTTAGTCTTCATCAAAGACCTGGAAGATGGCATAGAGTCCACCCTCAGCACGTTTGCAGCTGGGGGGAGTAGTAGATATGCTGCAGGGTAGAGCTAGGATTCAGGGTGACCTAGACAAATTGGAGGATTGGGCCAAAAGAAGTCTCATGAGGTTCAACGAGGATAAATGCAAAATCCTGCGCTTAGGATGGAACAAGCTCATGCACTGGAATAGGCTGGGTGCTGACTGGCTGGGCAGCAGCTCTGCAGAAAAGGACCTGGGGTTTATAGTGGACAGTGTCCTGAATATGAGCCAGCAGTGTGCCCTTGTTGCCAAAAAGGCTAACAGCATACTGGGTTTCATCAATAAGAGTGTTGCCAGCAGATCGAGGGAAGTGATTATTCTCCCCTATTCAGCATTGGTGAGGCTGCATCTGGAGCACTGTGTTCAGTTCTGGGCCCCCCCACTACAGAAGGGATGTAGACAAATTGGAGAGAGTCCAACAGAGGACAAGAAAAATGGTGAGGTGCCTGGGGGACATAACTTATGAGGGAAGACTGAGGGAACTGGACTTATTTCAAAAGGAGTGTTCAAAAGAGGATGGAGCTAAACTGTTCTTAGTGGTGGCAGATGACAGAACAAGGAGCAATGGTCTTAAGTTACAGCAAGAGAAGTTTAGGTTAGACATTGGGAAGAATTTTATTACTAGGGGGATAATAAAACACTAGGACAGGTTATCTAAAGAGGTTGTTCAATCTTCATCCTTGGAGGTTTTTAAGACCCAGATAGACAAGGCTGGGATGATCTAATTGGGGATGGTCCTGCCTTGAGCAAAGGGTTGAACTAGATGATGTCCTGAGGTCCCTTCCAATCCTAATTTTCTATGATTCTATCCATGTGTTCAGGGACACCTTATGGAGATCTGTGCCAAGCTTGCCCCACACAGGAGCTTCTGTGTAATGATGGCAATGTGCTTCTCCATGGATAAGGGCTGCCTCATTGCCATTGCCTGCTGCTGTATAACTCCAAACAGCATCTAGTCCATGGCAAACCATTTCAACAGGAGCAAGCTGATAGTTGGAGGAGGAGAGCAGGAGGTGTATGGCAATCCAATGGGTGATGGCATTGCATATCATATGCCTTGCCAACCCCACAGGGGTTCGTGAATGGGTTTGTCAGCTTAGGGTTCCCCAAATGCATAGGGACCTTTAATGGCACACACATCACCATCCTGTCCCCTGTGCACCATAGCTGTCAATTCATCAACTGGAAGGGCTACTTCTCAGTTGTGCTTCAGGCACTTGTCCTCAATCAATCAGATGAAATTCAGCAAGGACAGGTGCAAAGTCCTGACCTTGGAACAGCATAATTGCATATACCAATACAGACTGGGGAAGGATTGGAGGACTGGCTAGGCTGCAGTATTGCAGAGAAGGGCCTGGAGGTTACAGTAGAGAGAGGCTGAATATCTTGTGGGGAAAAAAGCCAACAGCGCAGTGGGTAGTATTAACAGGACTGTCGCTTGCAAATCAAAGGAAGTTATTCTTGTACTCTGTTTGGCCTTGGCAAGGTCTCATTTGGGTCCGGTTTTGGGCCCCACACTTCAAGAAGGATGTGGACAGATCAGAAAGAGTTCAGTGCAGAGTGAGCAAAATTACTAGAGGCCTAGAAGTATGACTTATGAGAAAAGGCTGAGAGAGCTAGGGTTATTTAGTCTGGTGAAGAGAAGACTGAGGGCTGATTTGATAACAGTACAAAAACCTGAAGGGCAATTACAGTGACTATGGAAATAGGCTTTTTCTCTCTGGCCATAGGGGACGGGACTATGAGAATGGCCTTAAGTTGCAGCAAAGGAAACTTTGGTTGGATATTAGGAAGCTCCCTCTAACTATGAGGGTAGTTAAGCATTAGAACAGATTACCTAGAGACATTGTGGAATCTGAGTCTTTAGATTTTTTTAAAGAGCAGGTTAGACAGACACTTGACTGGGATGGTTTAGTCAAGGATGATCCTTTCTCAGGGAGGGGGCTGGGCTAGATGACTTTATGAGGTCCCTTCCAGCTTTACTTTCCTATTGTCCTAAATTAATAATAAAATATCTGAATTATAATATTTATACTATATTAGCTTTTTAAATGAGAGGCTGCTAATTCTGAAATCTTACAGAGGGGTGTTTTGAGCCCAAACGGGTCGAGAGCCACTGCCCTATAGAATAGGAAGGGAAGACAACGGTGACTTACTCTGTAGTAACTGGCTCTGTGACAAGCTGTAGTCAGCATGGATCTCACCGTAGGTATGCATGCATCTCAAATGTGCAGGATCAGACTTTTTTCAACCAGTAGTGTCCGTGAGATTTCACACACACCTCTTAATATCTTATGCTACCAGATGAAAGTATGTGCGCGGGCTGGGAGTGGTCCGAGGCTTTCGGGGGCGCGTGGCGGGCTGTGGCCAGCAGCCCTGGCACGTGGGTCGGGGAATTCGGCACGGCGGACTAGAATTAGGCATGGACGCATAGCGGTTGATTAAAGATTATTTTACTTACACCGTAGATGGTCACGGTGCAGGCAGGAAAAACTTTGCTTAAGTTGCAGTTACAAACGAAAAGAAAACTCGCACGAACAAGACCCGTAGAAAACTCGAGCCTCTTAAACCCGGACGGACGGACGGACGGAGTTTGCTAGGCTCCGTGGACCGAGCGCGCAGGGAAGGGTATGTCGAGGGATCAGGCGGCGATGGGGAGAGGCTAGAGGTTGATCAGGCCCCTGTATCCTCCTCTAAGGCACACGCGGGGTTTGTTAAGCTCCACAGCGTGCTTAGAGTTCTTCACGAGATGGATGTGAAGTTCTCCTCCTCCAACTTGGGCGGAAACCGCTCAAGCCTCTTATACAGCTAGCAAGCCAATCGCTAGCCGCCATGTGGGAATAATTTAGAAACAGCCAACAGTGGGGAACAAATTTACATGCGGGTGGTGGGACCTCCTTTGCACCGGGGTTTTCTCTATGCAATTGAGAATTGCAACCTGCAAAGAAAGCTCCTCGTGGCGGGAAATAATTCTGCAGTGCCGAAGCACACACAAAATCATACCCTTTGGGTCATGACAGTATGAAAACCAAAACAATTGACATTTTGTCTTATAATTCATGTTGCTTGCTATTCTATACAGCAGGGATGGACGGTGAATTGTGGTATTCAAACTGCTAGGTCTCAAAGAACCGTGCCTATTTTGGGATTAGCAACTATTCTTTCTTCTTTGACCGTGTGTCAGTGTGGCTCCCAGTATAAATTACTGGTAGGCACTAACTTTCCTGAACAGGGTGGGGTGGAGGGAGGAGTTGCAGTTTAACTTGGCTCCTCTCCTGACCATGTCAAGGAGAAAACACTGAAGGAAAGATGAGTGTGTTACTCCAAACAGCTGCCTCACAGCTCTCAGAGATCAGCACATTTCTGGACAAATTGTGGGTGCTTTGGTGGAGGATGGCTTGGTGTTTGCAGGGAGAGGCTAATTGGGCAGCTCAGAGAAAGGAGAAATGTATCAAGTGACGTCCTTTCAGGTGCTGTGGGACACTGTGGCCTTTTTGTGGAGTTGGTACAATGTAAAGCAGGAGGCGGGAGGGACAGCCTAACTCAGGGGTGGACAAAATACGGCCCAGGGGCCGGATGCTGCCTTCCAGGCCATTCTATCTGGGCTGTGGGGGGGGCCCTAAAAGATTTAGAAAATTAATATTAATCTGCCCCGAGCGGCCGGATGGCTTGCTGAAACTCAGTAAGCGGCCCTCTGCCCAAAATAATTGCCCGCCCCTGGCCTAACTCATAGCTTGGCCTACTGAGGCAACGCTGTACGCTGCCAAACAGTGGACATATGGTAAAGAG